TAATGATGGGATACAGAGTACCTATGGAGTAGTTGGTAAACTCACTGCACGCGGTAAAGTTTAAAGCTTCAATGAGCGAGGTCTAAAATCATCGTTGATGTACGGGGTACATATGACTTCGTTGTGTATTGAAAAAGATCTTGATGGGAAAAGTTTAGGTAGGCACATACATAGGTACTTAATAGAGTCAGCATAAGTGGAACCAAGAAGCTTATGATGCTTTAGGTACTCCGTATTGGATTGTCGATTGTGAGTAGTACTGAGCTCCGTACGGAGTATGGATCTCTCCAATCAAAGATCCAATGCAATCTCCTCTGTGTATTGCTCTAAACAACACCAAATCGACTTCGTTTGACAACATATTGGATTGCCTTGTCCTCGGGCTCTGGTCATCACACCCTACGTTAGATACTTAGGTGTTGGACCCACCTGGTTCAGCGGCTGGGCCCTTGAGATTATCATTTTCAGGCTAGTGCCTTGGGGTGATGAGTTGTCTCTGGCACTCTGCCGAGGCGGGCTGTCCAATAGCGCCGGCCCGCCGGGATGCCACCTAGCTCAACACGCTATGCCCGTGGTTCCTCTGCCAATGGACGATCTTCCAAGGACACGAGGGGAACGAGATATGCACCAAAACGTGCAGGAAACATGCAGAGCAGACATGTACAGTAGCGAGGCCCGACGAGTTCATCGTAACGCTCCATGTGTGTGATACGTGATTTGTTGTGTGTGATGTGATGACCATCCTCATCCCATCCACTCCTCTTTAGTATCGAATAAGCATCCTCGGTCTCTATCAAAACAGGATATTTCAACTAGCGGTCTCCAAGTTGTTGCGTTGCCAGTTGCCACGCAGAACCAGCCTCCTTGCCTCTAGATACATGCTCTGCTCCAGTATCAAACCACGAACAGACAAATGTTGGGCTTCCACCTCTGCTACGACAAACCCCCTGTCGTAAAACGATTCATCTTCTGTTTTCCCTTCGAATCAGGTCCCGGCAATCGTCGCACTCCCAAACAATCCTCTTCCCCAGCCTCTCTTCTCACTTGATCACCCTCGTCAATCACTTAAACCCCTGTCCGCCTATTAATTAATCTTCAGACTTCAGCCGTCCCTCGTTCAGCGCCACGGCCCCAGCTTCAGGCCAGGATGGGAAAGGTGCGGCTGGGCGGTTGTGTCCCTAGAGACGGAAAATAATCATTCGAGTGAGCCTCATTTATGTGACTAAAATAAGTCAGACCATGAGGGCGAGGCCTGTGATGAGGCTGCATTTGTTGACCCCGTCAGCGCTTCTCACAACTTCACAAGTTGCCCAAGTCGCTTTGTAAAGAGTTCAAGATACGCGATATTAGCTGAGCAATCTTATCAAAAAGATCACCAGAGTCCCAGTCAGACCTCCCTCACTAGGATCCATAGACCATCATTTCGCTCTTGTTGTGAGTGGATTGTAGGGCTGAACCACTCACTATGAAGGTCGGACTTGTCTTCAAACCATTATGAAACACTCTCATTACCAAGGAATAGCCTAATTACGGCGCCTTGTTCACAGAGACATACCGTTACCCAGGTTTCAGATAAACCACAGGTTCCAAACATAATAGTGCTTTAGAAGCTTCTTGGTCGAATCTAGCGTCCTTGACCTCAACACCACCACCTAAACACGGATAGATTTGACATGTTCCTGAAAATCAGCTTTGCCTCGGCTCAATCTTACTTGCATCTGGCTTTCCATCTTCTCGGGGCGTAACCCGAGTCAGAATATTCGCTTTTCGCCGCTCATGTTCAGCTTATTGGCATCTCCAGCCTCCTCCATCATCACACTAAGAAACCACAGCTCCATTTGCTTAATTGGCGCCCCTTATATGCTCTTCAACCAACTCTTTACCTCCCAACATGGTATCGACTTATCCTGAGCTGTCTGTCATATTTCACCGCAAACATACACTTGTCAAGATGAGGCGAACTAGGCCGTACCAAGCATGATGTAAATCATAAGATCCCGCAAACTCTCTGTGGACCACCCGAGCAAAGGCCCTTGCACTCATGCGAGACACATCGAAAAGGCATGGGATATCCCTGAAATTTGGATCCAGGACAACTTTCACTTTTTCCACATCGTTTGACGTGCAACAAATGTTCTCAGCTATAAGACTCTTTCAGGCTTTTCCGCCAAAATTCACAGAGTCTTCAAAGGCTTTCGAGAAGCCCTGGTTACTCCTTGATTTAGCAGCGAGCCAAAGCAAACTGTCAACAAAAGCCCAGCGGAAAAGATGGCCCTTTCATGGCTCGGTACAACTAGCATTGGCCCAGAGCACTTGCAGTCTCTTATTGTAGTCCCCGACTACCTACTGTAGCTATTGCTGCGATCTCATGTGTTAAGGTTAGTTGGTCACCACGACATGCTGCTTCCAGCATGGCAAGACCACAATGAAAGACCTCTTTGTCCTATCGATGCTATTAACTCTTGTGGAAGCTGATCACCGCATCACTTGTGACACCGTCCTCGATGCATGCAGCCAACCGGGTCTTCTGAGGTCACTCGTGCCACACACAGACGACCCGTATAGCACTCTGCTTCCGGTGACTTGTAAGAGGATGACTTTATATAATCTGCAACCATGTATTCTTAGTCCTTCCACTCGGTTTTTTTGAATTCATCTGGTTAGCGATTCGTATATCAGTATCCAGGCAACCTCAAGGTCCGAATTACTATAGAAGCCAAGACGATAAAGCTTGTCTGTGCAGAGGGAGGAAGGGAGTGTCGGTCCATTGTCCAGCTCAGCTTTTCCACTTTCACTTGAGTCTCCCGGACATCTTTCTTTTGTGCGACAATTGATGCACAGAGTGGTCTCGCTAATCGGTCAAGCTTGATCGGAACGGATATCAACAAACTCAGCTGGACTTTATGTCATGAGACGAAACAAAGAATTGTTCATTGCTATGGTAATATCAATCGACACATAATCTCATTTTGACCTTCATTCATTCCCTCGAAGACACACCCTCCCGGCTCATCCCTCTCTACCTCCAGGCAAAAGGGTAGGTATAAAACGGTCCAAGAACGAACAAATGGGGGGATTCAACATCCAATAGCCAAAATTCAATAATCAACTTCTTCGACCATCCGTCACTACAGCCGGCGCAGGCTCAGCAGGATACTCGGGCGGCCTGTTCCCAGCTTCGAGATCCCGCAGTTCCAAGGGATCCTGCGTCTCCTTTTTACCATCGTATGGCGGTGGTGCCTGTCCCAGTTCATTGAGCCCTTCTTCAGACCTGGTTCCACTCCATGGCGGTCGGCGATTTCCCGTTCTTCTTCCATCGCGAAGGCCAGTATATACAGGAGCTCCGGTATTCTGACCGGGCCATTGGTTCCCACGGCGACGGCGACGTCGTCTCACTTGGATGATGGTGGCGGTTAGACCGAGAACTAAGATGACAAAGAGAGGAATGAGAACCCAGGCGAAGGGTTGTGCACCAAACGAGAAGCCGGTATTGTCGTCGTTATTGTCGTTTGCTGCCATCACAATAGTAGATGTATGGTTAGAGCGTATAAGTAAGGTACTCGATCAGAGGATATTGGTATGGTTATCGGATGTCTCAGGCAAGATCTGTATATGATCGATTCTCAATGGAGATGTGTGTAAGGGGCTTCTTTTACTTAGTTTTTGAGACGTTAAGAATCAAGTATCATCAAAATGATAGATTGTCAAGGTGTGAGGTCAGAGACTTTGATAGAGTGGCGTCATCTAGTAACTCCAACTCCCGACTCCAACCCTGGGGGGAGGGCAACTCTTTTGTACTTGTGCACCCTCGGCTTCTACCTTAACCTTTTACATTCGTGTGCCTCCATTACAGAGCCGCGTAGCCGATCATCCCCCACTGTCAAGGTGACTTCATCATTGTGGCTTAGTACAGCAGCTTAGATCTGGATGTATGTAAGGACCGCCGTTGAATTTCGCCGTCCGCCGATGGAGCCGGGATAAATTGGCCGCCCGTCACCTGTTCTGGCCATGATATCTACGCTGGACACAGCCCAGTCGGAGATAACAGATTGAAGAGTACCGACAGGTAAACGAGAGAACTTGGTATGAAAAGTCGAGCCCTTAGACTACAGCTTTTCAACTATGCCTTGGACTAGTGGCGTATTGAGAACGAGCAATGCCACTTACAGGGACTGAGTAATACGCTGCAACGGTCATGTTCACAACATGCCCAGCTTAGTACGAAGGCGATGAGGTAACAAACATTTGGTGCCCGGGTCCAATCTGCCACGTGATTTAGTCCAGCTTCCCAATAAAACAGCTCTGCAAAACCAGGCACAGTATAATTACGGGCTTTGCCGTTGCACAGCCGAAGGGCGAATAAACATTATTTGGAATGGTATCTGATGGTTCCATGCACGTTAGATAAATGGCAGATGGTCCGTGCGTCATGCAAGGCTCCGGTGCCATTATACTCCACCCTTTTTATGGGGGAAGCGTCAACCATAACGAACTTAAACTTCATTATCATCCTTGGAGCATTTTCTGGACCTATTGTTGCGCTTCCGCGAACTGGCCCAAGATGCCTCGTGCAATCAGAGGTTCGTCTCACACTATTTCTTGGTCACTGAGTATCCGAGCTTACCTATGCTAGGCGTTCTTATCGAGTGCGATCCTTCGATCAAGTCCATCATCGTCAGCATCGACAGTGCTAACCATGACTACATCATTGAAGATCTCGATGATGAACGCGTGGTTGTGAAAGAGACCATGGTCTCAACGCTCAAGCACAAGCTCGAAGAAGTACGTTCAATCGCTAGCATCATCTTTACCCAAGCTACTTGCGACTGAAAATGAACTTTGTTTAATTGACACATTCCCAGCGACTCAAAGAAAATCTTCCTCCTGAAGAAGAGTCCGGTTCCGAGTAAGAGTACGCTTCGAACATATGCAATCACTGAAATATGTACACAATTTCATACCCAAACGACATGCTTCTATGGTCCTTTCGAACACCTAAACTACAACTTCTCAAATCTCGGCTTCGTCTTCTTCAATCCACTCATCAACGCCAACGAAAAGTCCTTGCCTTGCACAGCCGCTGCATTCCATACTTGCGTATATCTCAAGCTCTCAGCAACAGTATGATCCCTGCCGTGGTTGAGCAGCTCCTTCGTTCCCTGTACAGCAACAGGGCTCTTGTCGGCAAGTGTGGTTGCCAGAGCCACAGCAGCCTGCACAGCCGCCTGTTTACCCTCGTGAACCTGGCTCACAAATCCTACTGATAATGCTTCCTGTGCTGAGAAGTCTCGGGCCGTGAGACAAACGTCCTTAACCCACGATGTTGAGCCAACGAGCTTGGGCAGACGTGCCAGGGTTCCGATATCAGCGGCCATGCCAATGTCAACTTCCTTGACGGCGAAGCGTGTGTTGGAGGCGCAGATGCGGATGTCAGCGCAGCAGGCGATATCAATAGCAAGGCCAATAGAAACACCATGAAGCACGCAAATGACAGCTGTAAATTTAATCCCATACATAAGTGATCCATCTTAACGAATCGTTGGACGAGTGAGACTTACGTTTCTCGCATTTCTCCATAGCGCCAATCGAGTCCTGGAATTCCTCAATGTGGTTTCTCACTACCTTTGCCTTTTTGGCGATATCCGCCTGAGAACCAGAGAGGATTCCATCATTAGATGCAGACTGCACGTCCAAGCCTGCCGTAAAGGCTCGTTCGCCAGCGCCGCTGACTACAACAGCACGAACATCTTCATCGCCGCTAAGCTGCTTGAAGACACGCCCAAACTCAAGCCATAGTTCCTGGGTAAAGGCGTTGAGCTTTTGGGGTCGGTTTATCTCGACATGAGCGACGAAAGGGTTTGGTGAGCTGACAATTATGTTTTTGTAAGATGTGTAAGCGGGAAGAGGTGTGGTGGAAGACATTGTGTGACTTCTAACTCAATTGCGAATACGTTGAAGAGAGCAGAGTATGAATGGTATTGTCAGAGTATTTATAAGGGATAAAAGAATCTCGGGCTAAACTGTGTCCCATGGGGAAGCTTGATCTTGGCTGCGACACAGCCCATGTCAGAGGTGGGCTACTGATGGAGATGCCGAGGTTCCCACCAATTCTAGCCCAGGCTTTACGGCTAACTCCAACTCACGTGCGACACGATTAACCGTTGTTAGTATACTCCGTAACGTGTACATCATTGAGGCAGCGAATATTCGTATCGGTTTAATGAAAGTCTATTGAACGTGCTTCAGCACTAAATCCTTTTAACTGAAACGACAAAGGCGGTAACCGCCCAGATAGCATTATAATCATTTCCGGGTCGTCTGCCCTGCCTGGGCTAGACGCCAATGCTCCTGTTGAAAAAATACGAACCCGGCGTGCCCAGCGCAGCGCGCCCAATCGAGTAATCAAGCGCTCTTCCCCTACATCTTGTGTCTATCATGAAAACCAAGAGGGGGGCCTAAATCATAACTCTGACCACAAGGCAATCCCCACACTAACAAGGAAAACAAATAAAGAGACGGCACGCCTGCCATCTACAGCAAAAGGGTTCCGACGAGGGTGAAGAGGGTGGCGGCAGCGGAGACGTACAGGGCACCGAAGCCAAGGCTAGCAGCGCCGCTGTCATCATCATCATCACCAGAGGCAGAGGCCGAACCTGTGGATGTGGAAGAGCCCATGGCAACGCTGGCAGTGGCAGTACCGCTATCAGTGTCGAAGTGGGATCCCTTGCCGTTGATGCCAGGGCCCTTGCCGGCACCGTCCTTCATGTACTTCTCAGCCTCGGAGGGCATCTCAGGGAGGTAGCTGGGGTCGACCTGCCAGACGGACTCGGAGGTAGGGCAAGCAACGCCATGAGAGGTCTTGGCAGCGCCGCCAGTGCCAGTGGGCATGGGGTACTTAGAGAGAGCAGACTTGAAGAGATCGAACTCCTTTTCGGTTGTGACCTTGCCGTTCTTGATTGTGACGATACCGTAGTCGTTGTCTTCGAGGGAGTACTCATACATAAGGCCACCGGAGTAGACAGAGGACATCTGGCTGTCCATCATGGGCTCAAGCTCCTCGAACTTACGTGGGCGGTTCTCAATGCAACCGTACTCGGACAGGCTGGTGAAAGGTTAGGAGAGGCCAACAGGGGTGGTGAACTGACTCACAAAATAGGGATACCGTAGTTGGTGAAGTTCTTGACCTTGACGTCCCAGCCAGAGGTCTTGAAGTCGCTGTTGCACCAGGAGTAATCGTTGAAGGCGAAGAAGTCAGATCGAACCTCCTCAGAGCCACAGTTCATATAGTGAGCGGTTTGCATGCGATTGGAGGCAACATCGGCAGCAGAGTAGCCGACAGGGACCTGGCGGAGCTTGCGGGCCTTAAGGTAGTTTCGCATATCACGAGTGATGGCCTTGACGTAGGGAGCGGACTTGTCGGTATCCTTCTCGTCATTCATGACCTCATTTCCGGAGAAGAAAGCGAGTGTGTTGTCGTACTTGGCGAACATCTCGACGGTGGCGAAAACGCTCTGAATGTAGGCGGCATTGTAAGAAGGACCGGGCTTGGCACGGTTGATGGAGTACTTGGGGTTGTTGACATCGAGAACGAGGTAGATGCCAGCGGCGTCGAGCGCACTCATGCACTCGTCGTGATCGGCCTTGTTGTCGACAGCGTAGACGCGAATAACGTTGACGCCGAGCTCCTTGAAGTACTTGATATCACGCTTGCAAACATCGGGATCGGCGAGAGGATCCTCGTTAGCTGAGGCACCACCGGGCTGGTAGTCGATACCTCGGAGGTAGAATCGGTCCTTGTCAGTCCAGAAAGCTAATTGACTGTCAACACTGACTGCACGTCCAACTCTTGAGGCAATTGACTACTAACCATTGCCAGAAACCGAGACGGCGGGGAGGGAAGCGCGCTTGCTGGGAGGCTCCTTGAGGGTAGGGGTGGCCGAAGCGACCGCCGCCAAAGCGGAGAGGAAAGCAACGGTCTTCATTTTTAAGTTGGTTGTTCGAACGGTATGGCGGCGGATTAATACGGTTCAAGAATTGTCGTTAAGAGACGATATCGAGGGTGGAAAATGATCAAAATGAGTGGATCGGGTGAGGAAGCAGAATTACAGTCCAAGTAGAAGAAAACCAACAACGAGGGAGTTGGGAAGCGGGAACGAAAGAAGAGAGAAGATCACGACCGGAGAGAAAACGACAGAAAGGCGTTAACCGGTTGGAAGGGTAGTTGAAGGAATTAAAAAATCAATGGAGGGAGGGAAAAGAAGAGAGGAGAAGAGAGCGTGATACGGAGGTTGGAATGGGGTTTTAAAATAGTAGGCACTGGAGGTGGGAAGACGGGACGGGATGGATGCCCTCCACCAGTGGATGGAGGGTGTGGTACATCAGGTACAAAGTTACAAGCCGGGACCAACTCGAATCGACAACCACAGAATGACACAACGGGATAGGATAGAACCTGGATAGTGGTGGTATCAAGGGATATTGGATTGGATGGCAAGTGATTGATCCCTGAACTGGGTTGGTATTGTAGGAGCACTCGGCATTATCTTGGTACCAACCAATCTACCTTAGGTAGGGAGAAGGGAGACGGGGTGTCTGGATAAGTACCGACTACCTAATGAGCGAGTGAGTGTTTTACGGTACCAATTGAGGCATTGGACGAACGATGCAGACTCTTCCGCTCCCATTTGGACTCCCGCCCTCGTACCAGGTTAACAAGAATGGAAACTGAGGTGGTCAGTCCAAGCGTCTAACGCCGGCCACTGCAGGCATTTCTTCCTTGGTAGGCTTGGATGGGCTTCCGTCGAATCCAAGGGGAGGCCATGGATTGGGGATTAAGCGTGGGGCACGTCCGGTCCAGTAATTTCAGTTTCCACAAATTCATGCTGGCACACCTACTAATCTCGAAGAGCCAAGAGAGCATGATGATGGGTTGACAACCAGGTCCAGCATGTCTTTATTGCGAAGCAGTACAATGCTCTTGTATGCAACTCAGTACTGTGACACTATCTTGTCGGATGAAACCAGTGTATTTGAATTGCCATCTACCGGCATTTGCACTATCGCACAGTCTTGTTGTGCTTGCACTTGTGTGGCGGAAGTCAGGTACACGAATCAATGGGCTGTAGCTGCTGTACAGAGTACACTAACCCAGGGCAGCCTATCACTGAAGCATTACCTAGATACGGGCTAGTAGTTAGACTAGGCCGGTGGTGTGAAGTCTACCGATGGATGTGTTGTCCCATGTCACTTGGTGAAGAACAAACTGTTGCAACGTCCGTAAACAAGGCGGTTATCAGTTGGTCATGAGCCCATAGGTATGTTTACTCGTCACTATAAAGAGGATCGACACAAACAAACATTTAACCATCTCGCCCTCTATGTAGGTTCAAACTCTGTTGTCATTATCCGTATACTGGATCTCACTTGTGTCAACAAACAACTCAACGCCTCTAAATGACAAGAAACTCCCAAGAGTGCTCAGCCACAAACCAAGAGTCCAGCAACTCAACCATTCCGTTTCTATGACAGGTCCAAGGCCTTTAGTACATTGGCATCACTTGCTGTGCTCTCTTTTTCGTTTCTTGGCCTGGATTTCGCTCAATGCTGAAATTCAATTGACCCACCAAAGTCGTCGTAATGCATTTTAAGCTATCGGCACACGCCTCCCCTTGCTCATGCATGACACTCCCTTTCGGCTGGAGTAAGCGCCTCCTGATCAGCGATTGGCGTGCCGCTGAAACTCGTCTCGTAACCCCCCTGAGGCTCCTTTTTTAACGGCTCCAGCTGGTGGCACCGTCCCCTCTCTCGCCTGGTTCATCATGATGCTTGGTGAAGGTTGGTCTGGGGTTGGCATTAGATGTCTGAGTAGGTACCTTCAGTGAATCGTAGAGTTCTTTTTAGTTTTATGCCTGTCACAGGTTTGGTTGTTAAGATCTAGAATGAAGACGTTCGTCTCATAACCCAGGTATCCAGGTAAGCTTAAAAGAAACTTCCTACCTGGGTATTTGTCGCTAATAACACAGACAAGAATTTCTTCCATCCATAAGTTCTCACCTGCAGATTCCAATGATCGGCAGGGGTCATTCTGCCACTCCCGTCCCGCTAAACATCAGTGGAGCCCAGGCTCTCACGTCTATGGGCCATACCGTATTATCCCATAGAAGAACAAGAATAGAAATTCGACTTCTCGTATGGCTCAGTACCTACCTAGCTTACTGAAATGCTACTGGTTGTCAAGAACCCACTATTATTTAGACTGTTTCTGTGTATTGTATCGAGGCACAGGCTAGGACAGGTAGATGCCGTACACCTTGAGTCTTAACATTTCTTCATCCTAGTTGGCATCAGTCAGTCTGAGCTCTGACTGCTAAGACTGGATTCATATGACGATGAGTTGCACTTGACATGGATTTTGCTTGGTTTATCTCCTGGACCCGTCAAATCAACCGAGGCCAAGGCCAAATTTCAATCGTCACGTCGATCACCCTGCACTGCCTCGTCCCAAACTCGTCTCTAATCCCTTATCCCTCACAACCACTCGCCTCTGCATTCTCACCGCAACGCCAATATCACATCTCGCCTGTTGCATAATTAAACTCAGGATCTGGGCGCTCGGCCAAGAATGACCCTCGTGCGAAACACTGTGGTTCTTCACAATACCAGTGGCCCTCTTTTCATCTGGTAACCTCACCTGGGGTGCGTCACATCCCCTGCCAGTACATGCACTATCTCAGAGCCAAGAAAATGCTTGGCTTTGTTTAGCTGCAATAGGAGGTTCCAAGTGACACTTTGCGTGGGGACGTGAGACCCCAACCCCAAGTGACGAAAATACTAGTGTACATTAGCAGGCTCTTTAACTAGTTGATTTTGTCACCTTATTTTCATGTCAGAAGTTTTATTACTCCCTGTGGTTTGCCTTCCTG